AGCTTGAAGCTGAAAAGATATTCGGCCTAGCCAAGAGCCAGAATGGGTGCTCGGCCCAGCCTAGAACCGAATGGGTGTTCGGCCCAGCTTGGAGCCGAATGGGTGTTCGTTCATCTTCACTTGTCGAGGTGAGCCTTGAGCTACTCCTTTGGTGTATTCGGCCAAGTCCCAAACCGAGGGGGTGTCATGATGTGTGCTTTGTCGGTTCGGGCGGCCTATTCGGCCTATATTCTCTTCACTTGTTGAGGTGAGCCTTGAGCTACTCCTTTGGTGTATTCGGCCAAGTCCCAAACCGAGGGGGTGTCATGATGTGTGCTTTGTCGGTTCGGGCGGCCTATTCGGCCTATATTCTCTTCACTTGTTGAGGTGAGCCTTGAGCTACTCCTTTGGTGTATTCGGCCAAGTCCCAAACCGAGGGGGTGTCATGATGTGTGCTTTGTCGGTTCGGGATTATATATATATATATATATATATATATCACTTTTTATCCATAAGTCAGAGCAATTGAAGGTAGTATTTGATGAAGCTTATTTTGATTTTTTTTAAAGATAAGATGAGCTAAATAAACTTCCAGAAAATAGCTTTATAAAAGTAGCAATTTAATAAAAATAAAACTCTTAAAAAGTTCTTTTTAGGATTTTTTCCTTTTCTATTTTAAATCCCAAAACGCACTATACATCTTTTAATAAAAAAAACTGTCCAAGAGTACTCCATGCTGTTTTGCTCATCAATTCCTCAGGAACAACATGGGACAAAAACTTTACTTAGTTTCATTGCTATTGTCTCTCCCACTAACACGTTCTTCGTCGCCTTTCATAAGTTACATAAATGGTGTTAAAATACAATTAATAATATATACCCTTCCACCTTGTAAAATATTGTGAACTATGCAAAACCAAACTTCTCTTAAGTATCAAGTAGCAAACCAGAAAATCAATGATAATGGAAGTAACTAACTACTTGCATTACACATAGACACAGGTCACAAGGAAACAATTAGTAATCTACAACTCTAACCCTATGAAGCAACCATACATAAAACAGGCAACAATATTCCATTTGTTGCTGCTTCTCCAAAATGCAAAAGCCAAAACAACACATCTCTAGTAATTAAACACAGTACACATCAACTAATTAACCATACAACAACTAAGTACATATATATACATTCATATGATCTAATATCTAATTAGATGCTATGCATGATAGGTAGTGTAGGTGTTGATAGCTTTGACCCCTTCAGCAATGGCATGCTTCCCAAGCTCTCCTGGCAAAACCAGCTTCACTGCTCCTTGAATCTCCCTTGAAGACAGTGTCACGTGCCCTGTGTAATCCTTAAGCCTAGAAGCCTCAAAAGCCAGCCTCTCAAACATGTCATTCATCAAGTTGTTCACAATAGTCATGCACTTTGAAGAAATCCCCATTTCAGGGTGGACTTGCTTCAACACCTTATACACATACCTTTGGTACCCTTCTTCACTTCTTTTCCTCCCTCTTTTCTTTCTCCCCCTCTTTTTTGCCTTCTTCACTTCCTCATTCTCTTCCTTTTGAGTTTGCACTCCTTCACCATAATCTTGATTAGTGGTATTCTCTTGATCACCTTTGTTTTCAGTGGTGATGGCAGATATAGGGGAATCCTTTTGTGCATGAGAAGCCACTTCTTGAATGGGAATGGGAATGACCTTCACATGCTCTTGGCCACTCACAACTTCTTCATCTGTTGTGTGAATATTATCTTTGTTTCCACGGGTTTTTCTTTTGGTGCTGGTGCTTCCTACAACCGAAACTTCCACACTTGATTCCACTACTTTCTTCGTGGATCTTATCACCATCTTCTCACGTTTAGGAGCCATGCATTCACTATTTCTTTTTGCCTTACCCTTTAAGCTTTTCTGCCAATGAAGAGAGTAAGTGATTAATTAGTTGATGAGTATGTTAATAGAATCAGCGAAGTTATAGAGCTCGACATGTGGACAGCACGTGTCAAATATATAGGAAGCAAGTAAATACGTGGGGTTAAAACTTAAAAAGTGAATTGCATGTTCTGGAGAGAGAGAGAGAGAGGATGTGCCATAATTGTGTTAGTGTGTCCCTTTGCTATCATCACCTCTTCAAAGATTACACAAGAAAATAAATGTCCGATTTTAGAACAGCATGGTCATCTTTCAAGAACCATCCTTTAATCTTGATTTTGGGGTTAAAGAGATGAATGAACATTATTTCATCAATATATGCTGTCTTTGTTAAAATATGAATAAACAGGGATGGCCCTGATTCCAAGTCCCTCAACTACTAGAACTTGTACAAATTTGCAAAACACTGGTCAATTAATATAGCTTGCAACATAATTCCACAACTTCAGTTTAATTTCCTTGTGTCCAGAATATTGTAGGGTTCTCTAATTATTAGTCCTCAATTCTTAGTACGTTTTCTTGGGGCATTCAGTGAGAAAGATATTGCTGTCTTCGACTTTGGATAACGACTGAAATAAAGACAAGAAAATAAAAAACAGTACCGCTTGTTTTTAAACTTCCTATATATTTTATATTAAAATATATTAGATTAAAGAAATTAATGAGTGATTTAGATCTTCTGTCATAATGAGATGACATTATACAAGTCGTGCCTCAATACTTATTTTATTTAAGTTAAATCGAGATAATTTTGTTCATAAAATAAATATAATTTTATTTTAACTTTAGTATAGTTCCATTAAGATGAATAATCATATCATATGTAATGGAGGTTGGTAAATAGTTGAAAGAGTTGTGAGATAACTTAATATTAATTAATTAATTATTAAGTTAATATAATAAATAAAAATCACTAAATTGTCTTATATTAATAAAAGAAAAATATAAAAGATATTGTGATAAAAGAAAGAAATAACTAAATGTGTATAAAAATATCATATTGACTTAATCTATTGTTATTGATATATAAATGAAGGACTTAATCTATTGTTATAGCTATATAAATAAAGAATAATTTTAATTTTATAAACTAATTTTATAAACTAATTTTATAAACTAATTTTTTTAAATAGAATTAGACTTTTAATCGACTTTGTTAAGAATAATGTCATTATAAAAGATCTATTTTTAATATTTTTTTATATTTGTTTTTAGTAATTATGTTATTAGTATGAAGTATTTTTTTTAATAATTAACTTTTATTGAATAACTCGTTTGATCACTAAAAGTGACATATTGTCTCTCAATTATTTTTTTTCATACATAAAATTTAAATATAAAATCTTATTTAAGAGGATCGAATCTAACATCGCTTGTTGATAAAAATTTTTATATATATTTTGCATATAATGAGAAAAGAGTTATATCTATTTTATCTTGTTTAGTTATATTTGAATAAGAAAAAAAGTTGTTAGCGACGTACACAACACATTATTTTGAATATATATTTTTAATTAAAATTATAAATTTTTTAATAACATACTTTTAATACATTTTTTTTAATATATTTGTTTTTAGTTAAAAATTATAAAATAAATTTATTTCATAAAAAAGATTTATATAATTTTGATAAATTTTAATTAAAAAAAATGATGTTGAAAAGGTGTTCCTAACATTTCTTTCGAAAGAAGGGCCTCCTCCGACCCTCAATTTTTTTTTTTTTGAAGTATCCAATATTCGAATTGGATTTCATCATTTCATAAGTTAGTTGTGTACTGTTTTGTGTCTAATTTACACCAATTTTTTTTTTTAAAAAATCTCATCGTTCAAAATGAGTGGCCCATTTAAAAGCCCAAGAAAGTAATGTTGAATTGTAATGGCCCGTATGAGTGTATGATGATAGCAAGAAAATAAGGACTTACATATATATATATATGTATATATGAGTATATAATGAAGAAACTAAAGTCTTGGTCCCCATGGACAACAAAGCATTATCTCTTGACTGTGACTGTTGCAGGTTCCTCTGTCTCCCTCTCTATCTTGTTTTATTTCCTTTGTTTCCTTCTTTTTTACTTTTCAAACTTTTCTTTTTTCCATCAAGCCAATAAAAAAAATCTATTCATCATAATCCAATCCCAACTTTTACTATTATTGATGAATTGGGTCTTCTAAAGTTTACTTATTAATTAACTGAAAACTTATAAGTAATTAGTCACGAACTTAAAAAATAAAAGTTGATAAGTTAGTTGACTGAATTAAAATTATTTAATAAGATTATCTGATAAATATAAAAATAATATTAAATAACTTTTATAATGAGAGTGAGATAGTAATAAGATAGAAAAAATAATTTTTTAATTAAAAAAATTCAAGTAAATTAATGAGAGTAAAAAAAAGTTAAAACTTATAAATTCTAAACTACTTCGATTAACATGTAAAAATAAGTTATGAGTTCTTCCTTTACAAAAAATAAAAATAAAAAAAAGGAAAAAGTTATGAGGTCTTAAAATATGTTTTTGTACTAAAAATTAATTCATTTTTGTCAAATTAATTTATAAGTTAGCTAAAAAAAATTTTAACTCCTCAAATATTTTATCAATTATAATTGTTTTAAAAAGAGTGAAATATCATAAATGAATTTCTTTTTTATATTTAAGTTGTAAATATATTTTTAGTCCATTAAATTATGAGTAAAGTTGTTTTTGTTTCTCAAATTAAAATTTTTTCTAAATCAAGTAATATAAAAAAAAATCTTATTTTAATTTTTTAGATTATAAGTAACATATCAAATAATAACAAATTAAGATAATTATACAATATCAACAATATTTAATATGATGTTTTACTAAGAGAGATATTAGTGATGAATTTTGTGTAATAATACCTCACAAATTTATTAACAAAATTTAACCATAAAAATTAAAATAATTTTTTTAAAATATTACACAAATTAAAAGAGATTAATTTTAACTTCGAGATATCAAAATGTATAGAATACATATGCGGTTATCATTTCTCCCCACCATATTGTTTATGGGAACATGGAAGAGGATGCTTTTATGTGACATGATAGATCATGTATAAGCTTTATATCTATCTTCCTTTCATTCAACAAAAGTAAATTTCTATCTCTCTTGCTTATTTTTTTATAGAGCCTTGCTTATTTTTTTATAGAGCCTTGCTTATTTAATATCTATTAAAAAAAAAAGCTCAAAAACATGCATATATAGGATATGTCACGTGAAATTTGAACACGAGATAATCCATTGCCTTGGAACATACAATTGAGTGAAGACGGGGTGATCATAAGGATATGGTCTAGTTAACTTTATGATTCTCTAAATTGAATAAAATTTTATATGAATTAGTATGATGTTGAGAAATTCTTAGAATGCAATCAACAAAAAAAGAAACATGTTTGATTGACTGAATTGCAAATTTATTGACATACATATTCTTTTTTCATTCTTTCCCCCATAGAAGTTATCTTAAAAGGGAAGATAAACAAAGAAAAGTGCTAAAACTCCAATAAAGTTGGAGGTGATTATGATTCATGTGAGGATATATATTCATCCATATTCATTTGCAAAGAACTTTCATATACTTTTATGTCTCTTGTTAACCCTAGTAAGCTCGAACATGGATTGGAAGAAAGACTCTACCTCATCATGCCTTATTACATGGTTCAAATCACTTGACGATGATCTTTTCATGCATGAAGAAAATTGTGGGATTGACCTACTTCTTTTCTTTCTTGGGGCAAGTGGGCATTTTTGAATCATGGGAATCTTGTTGCTTGAACAAGTTGGTGTTTTGCACTCTTCAATCCCTTCTTGTGCTATATCCATTCTTATTATCTTTGCATCTTCTCCTTCTTGCTTAGAAACTCTTGATTCTTCCACTTGTGGTGGAATTTGTTGCTCTATTGACCCTATAGTCATGGATTACTTTCACTAAACACACAAAAGCAAAATGTTTGTGTAAGCAATAGACAAAAACATTAGATCATCAAAAAGGATGAGAATGAAGAGAGTACTTGAAAATGGAAGCTTTTATTTTACTATTAATTTGTACCTTTCTATTTTTCTTGTTTGAAGATTTTCTCAAGAACTTTTTGCTTCAAGCTTGAAACTTGAAAAAGGATGTCAGTGTTGTGTGGTATAGCATTGCCAATGACAACTACATGTGAGAACAAGTCTAAGTTGGCAAGAAAGGCACTATTCAGATCCTAATTGTGTAAGAATGTGTTTGGATTCATTTAGGTAGCTAGAAAGCCTTACCTTATATGTGTCATGTTTGACCATTAGTTAGAATTGCCTTTGTCCAAGGAATTTTATATTTTTATCCTATTGATTTTAGTTATGCATATAAAATGTTAACAATACATACTTCAATACTTTCATCTTAATACAATTTTTTATTAGTTAAAATTTATTGAAAATCACAAGATCAGGAGTAAGACATTAAATAAAATGCAAGACTCATCAACTTTTGCATTTTTTAATAAATTTTCACAAATTAAAAAAAATGTGTTCAAAAGAGTTTGTTAGGGAATATGTAACATTTTTGTAATTTCTAATATATCAACTTTACTATAATATCACTAGAGAAAGGCATCATGTTTTAATAACAAAAATCCATTAAATATTTTTTATTAAATAAATAAATTTGAGTTTCGATGTTTAAACTAATTTTTATTTTATATTATCTCTTCAAAATTTAAAATTATTTTTATTCTTTAAAAGTGAGAGCGAAATTTAGTTTTTTAGTTTTCATTTGTCGATAATTTGAATAATTGTTTTCAATCTCTAGTATTCATTTTAGAATAAATAAATAACTATATGTTATGATTTAACTTTTTTCTCCGAAGTCACGTGTTGCCATAACCCCATATATACATTATTGTGTGCCGTAAGGATGACTACAACATGAACTTATATATAAGACACGTAAGCAGTTAATAAATAAATATAAAACACAGAAATAAAAAAATATTAATTTTTCGATTTCAAATGGATGAAAATTGAAAATAATATCAAAATCAAAATCAAAATTCTCCAAGATAATATTTGTTTCTGCAAATATTGCATTTATATATATTAACAATGTGAAACATATAATAAGATGAAATAGGATTTGACTTCTTTTAAAATGAAGAGGTGTACTTTGAAAATAAAATTTACACTTATAATTAATTACTGATTAAAAATAAATTATTGACCTAGAATTATAATAAATTTATAGACATATACAAGAGTCTCTAAACACATCTATTGATTCGGGTTAGATTAATAGTATTTAAGTTAAATATCATTCATTATGCAGCCCATTGCCTATATAACCATCACAATGAGATGATCCATATTCATTATTTCGATATAATTAATTTATAAACTGAAATTTGTCGAAAGATCGAGAAGGATATTATCAACAAATGCCTTCATTATATCCCACAGTCCATGTCTCTACATCTAAAGAATCAAGTTATTTTTACTTAATGTGAATAGTTTTTTTTTTATCAATAATTTAAATCATTAATTTTCTTCAAAAAGGTTATGTATGGTCACTTTCAATGTGTTGTAAACTTCTACTGGCTTTCTCAGAATCAATGCCAACAATGAGATTAGATTAATATTTCATCCCAACATTTGCAAGTGCAACAATAATTGCATGCAACGAACAATAATAATCAACTAACCTGAAATACCTTCTATATATATATATCCAACATCCTTTTTGGATATGCAGAATCATGCATGAAATGGAGTTGATGTATCTAACATTATTTTTTAACTCGTAACTATTATAAATATCAGTATTTTAGCTTGTAAAAGACAATTATTTATTTTTTTGTATAATTAAAATTATAATAAATAAATATTTTTTAAATATATAAATTATATTATTATGATTAAATTTATAATAAGTAGAAGTCTTTATATATATATATATATATATATATATTAAAGATGAATAATTTAAATTTCTATATATAAGGATATTTGAATCATAAATGATGTATTTTAAAAATATTAAAATTAAAATAGATAAACGATTGAGAATATCAAATATATAGATAAAAATAAACAGGAAGTAAATTGAGATGATTGAGAGACATATTATTTTTTCTATTTGCAAAATATAATGTGTAAAATATATATCTACAGAAGTTCGATTCATTTATAGATAAAGTAATATCAAAGAAGCAATAAAAATAAAAATAAAAAAGTAAAATTGTACTGTATCAAGCGTGTTAGGTTCCAAAACAGTTCCAACCTTTAGATGCATTTCTAAATTTCCCATGATTAAATATTTTAAATATATGGTTATATAGTTACTCATATAATTTATGATACATATTTTAAATATTATAATTATATTATGATTAAATTTATAATATTTAAATATTTTATATATAAATTATATTTTATATTTATAATAAAAATTTTATATTGTAATACAAGTTTTTTTTTTCCCACACCATATTGTAATACAAGTTAAAACACCTTATTAAATAATAGTCCCTATTCCTAAAAGTACTTTCATCTAAAATAATTGTAACTTTTTTGTTTTGCCAAAGTCAAAATCTATTAAGACATAGACCAATCTTGTTTACATTACTATAATTGTTACTAGTTTATACAATTTTTTGCACACAATACAAATTAAACACAATATTCTTCACTAATTATATTAAATTGTCCCACAATAGTTAAGGGTACCGTGATTAACCACTATGCTAAACTCATGAATTTTTATTCTAATTAAATGTCTAGTACTTATAGAAGTCAGGATTATTGAAATATAAGAGAGGAAAAAGAAAGAAGTCGTTTTCCTTGTTACATGAAACCATTCATGTGTAGAGGGGACATTTACACCTAGCATGTTTCAAAACATTTATTAATGAATGCAAAGCAAAGCATTATTGCCCCCAAAGCCAGGCTATGCTCAAAAGTAACATAAACCATTCCGCTCTCCTTTTTGTACATAAATTAATGCCCCATTAAGAGACCTTTGGTTACTACTCATAACCACATGGGGATTGTGAGGAATGAGCTGGATAAAGAGCTTCAAACTAATTAATCATGCAAACCATAATAATAATAATAATACCAAAATTAAAGCCTTAATTATGGGCCTAAAGGTAAGGTGCCCTATGAGGTACCCCTTTTCTTCTCCTTGAATTTGAGCAAACTTGTAGAGATACATGAGAAGGCGTGCTTTGGTACACTTGTTTGTGGATTCCTTCACGCAATTCTTCCTTTGATGCCAACCTTGCTATTCCTTCATGCATTCTCCCTATTTCTTCGTCTTTCTTTGCGCTCAAGACAAACCTCGCGTTCCCATTCTTCTTTATTCCCACAAGCTATTTTTTTTTTTTATACATACAAATACAACAAACCATATTGTCATCCTAAGTCTTCTTAACAAAAATATAATGCATATATGACAGACATATTGAACACCACCTCAAATCTTCAATCATCGCATTCCCACTTATTGATGTGTTTATAAATTGCTATTATTATTCTTTGGTACGGAAGAATACAAATAAAGTAAAAACGAAACTAACGCCAAGGGAACATATATAGGTCGCCTTCCAATTCTTAGCAATAATACATGAATGCGGATCCATGACTTTAATTAAATAAGCAACTGGGTATAACAATTAAACATTCAATTTGGAGTATCATTGCATCATGGTTCAATATGTTTAAGCATAAAAAACAGTAAAACAAATTAAGATGATATACTATTATGTAAAGATGAGAATGGTTATCCATTTTTATACACTATTATTATGACATTATTTTTTGTTGATATAAAATTTTTTAATTAGTTAAACAATATGCTTGAGTTGTCGTATTGAATTGGATTTGCACTAACCAAAATTTAGATGAGAAAGAAAAAGAGAAGTTAACGAGAGACTGACCTTGCATCCCAAAGAACAGAAACGAAAAGGGTCCAAGAGATTCCTTCTGCAAATTTCACACAAATGGGAGTTACTTTTGCCACTAACAATAGCATTATTGGTCTTAGGCTGATTCTGAGGCCTCTCATTGAGGAAAAGAACTCTAGCACTGTTAATCACGTACGTTTGAACTCCACTGATATCCAAAATCTTCTGAATCTCCGTTACCCTCACAACATCATGATACGACGACCTCCTTATCTGCATTACACTTGCAAATCAAAATATTCAATCCTTCCAATTCCAATTCCAGTTCGGTGTTGTCCTAAATCCTAATCTAATTAAATAAATTAATGCATGTACGTATATTATATTTTGAGAAACCATACATATAATGAATAAGATAAATTAAGTACCCACTTGAATTACTTGATGATCCTTATGCGAAGATTGTTTGCAATAAAAACAAAATGCTTGGTCTGTGCAATCGAGGCAGTACATGTTGCACTCGTTTCTGGGGGCGTCGATGTGGGACTCGCAGATGGTGAAGAAGGTGGTTGACAATAGTTGTTCGAGCCATGGTGGTGGTGGTGGCAGAAACATTAATTCCTGTGAGAAACAAATTAACACAAGGTAGCACTATAAGAGTAGAAATGTAAAAAAATGTATTGGAGAAAACAAGGGATGTTGTATATGTATGTATATATGGTTACCATTATTATTATAAGGGTTGTTGATTATTGTGGCAGGAAGTGAGGAAGAGAAGAAAATTTGTGAAGAAAAGAATGGATGAAGTAAAGGAGAAAGGAAGAGAAGAGAAATGTTGTATTTGTATTATAAAAGGTGCATCAACGGTTTAAATGAAAGGATGGTAGGTCAAGTGCGTTTTGGAGCGTTGGATTGGAAGTGAAGACAATATATATAATATATTGCTCTCTTTGGATGTGTAATGTGTTGGGTAATTACGCTACAGCCTTACAGCTACCTCTTTTAACTTTTTTTTTTTTTTTTTTTTTAAATTTGATTTCTTGAAAATATGGGTATATGAAGGGGAAAACGACAGCCTTAGATATAAAAAAAATGTAGAAATTTTGACAATTTTATAAATTATATTTATTACAATTTTAAATGTACAAATTAAATGGTTATTATATATAATTAAATTTTATAAATATAAAAATAAATATTATGTTTGGATATATAAATTATATTTAAAATTTATATAGATAAATATTTTTATACATAAATAATTTATATTATAGTATATTATTATTTTTATTTATTAAAAAATTGTTTTTAAAATATTAAAATTTAATTCATAAATAATTATGATAAATAAATAAAATTATATAAGAAGTTAAAAATTATCTTTAAAAATTCTCTTATTAAAAAAAATTCCCAAAATATTATTATACTAAATAGTAGTTCATGTGTAATATAAGATAAGAATTATTTTTCCCTTATTTATATGGGATAGGATGATTTCTAATTAATTGTTAGTAATTTTTTTACAATGACATAACATAAATATTAAACTAAAAAATATTTACATTTAAAGTGTTTGTTTTATCCCGTGGGTGTTTGCTTGGTTACACTACTACAATCACACGAAATTTGTTTTACACTAACATATTTATAACGTGTTATTTTAATATATTTGAGGCATTTTAAGAATTAGTTTCTCTTATATATAGTTTCAAAAAGAAACTTAAAAATGGTTATGATTTAATAAATTGAACTTGACAGAATGAGAAATAATTATAATAATTAGTTGATTGAAATGATAATTTGCGTGTGGTTTAGGGAGGCGACAAATGAGTCTTTATTTTATTTTTAATTTTTGGTGAATTCAAATGAGTGGCAGTATCCGAATACGACACAATCATATGATCTGACGCCACTTCTATAGTTACCTTTTCTAAAAACTTTTTCACTTTTCTATACATTACTTTTAGTTCGTTTAATCATGTGTTTGGAATGATATTATTTACTTGCGTTAAATTTAAAAATTGTATAATTGGACATGTTTTCTTAAATGTTGTTTGTGCTATTGTGTATTGTCTACTTTTTATTTTAATAATTCATATAATAAAAATTTAGTTTCAAGAATTTTATATATAGGTCGCTCGAAAATATTTGGATGGTGTGAACTCAAATGCTCAATAACGTTTTTTCTTTTGGCCAACTTTTTTTTCTTCTTCTTTTTAATCAGCAAAAGAAAACTATCATTGAAAGAGAGCAAAAGGGTTCCTAACCCTAACAAAACTAACAATCCAAACACCAGTTCTGTGTACAAAACAGATAAGATGGAGACTTTGTTACTAATTATAAGATAATACAAGGCCAAACAAAAGTTTTCTTTAAAAACGCCAACTACCGAGATCACTTTTTTTTTTTCTACCACGTGTATATATCAATTTATTGAGTCAAGACTAATATGTTGGTGGTGTTGTAATTGTGGTTGAACCAAGGAATTTTTTAATATGACTATGACCAAATATGAAATTTTCTATTATATATATTGTCTTTACATATATGTTTATATATGATCTCTAACTACAATATCAGGTTACATTTTAGTTAAAAATTATTTAATGAAAAATAAATTAATCTGAAATACTTTTCTTATTTTATAATAAGTGTCACATTTAATTTTTTTTATATGAATAAATAAAAAACGAATTTATATCATATGCTTAAAGAACTCAAGTTACTGACTACTCCACTTATATCACATTGTGAATATATGTTTTTATGCTTCAACTCTTATTAATTGTGAAATTTATCCTTTTATTCTAAAAGTTCTTTAAGTTCATAAATTGTGACAATACTTCATAATCATTCTATGTTCTCGAAATACTAACTCTATATTAGTGTCATTATGTTATGTGACAATAGGCCATTAGTATCATCATAGTATAATCTATTTGTAGTGTTTAACAAAAGTAACTTTCAGGAAAGCATGGTTAAATTATAACCAATTAAACTAAACCCATCATTCCAGACTGAGCCAAGTAGAATTTACAAAAATCAAATCAGATCAGATCATCAAAGCTAATAAATATAGTAATTAAACTAAAATGAATGAAACCTGATTGAGCCAAACACAGCCCTACTTATCCAAACCCATGCAAATTTAAATAAATTGAATTAGAAGATAATAAAAGTATGATGAAACTTGATGATTTCGTTTTTAAAACAAAGAAATATAATTTACTTTTTCACTATATATTCTGATTTTGTATATTTATTTATTCCCCCCTCCCTTTCTCTCGCTCTCTCTCTATCTATATCTATATATATATATAACATAATAATTTGAATCTTGTATATAAAAAATATATGATTAAAATATGAACCTTCATTAAAAATAATTAACCGATAGAAATCGACAATTAACAAAATAGACATATTTTTTTTATCAATAATATCACATAAAAATACACACTCATTATCCCACAGAAGGAGCATCCAACTTTTGCAGCAAGTCAAAACGAAATGGCTGCAAAGATTATTCAACCAACTCATTCCCATGTTGGGCTTCATGTATGTCTTGACAATCTTAAATCTTCTATATGCACGTTCGTCTGAACATGAATCGCAGCCGGGTTGTTCCTTCATGCACGTTCCATGACTCTGTTTCTTCATTTGTATCCAGACATGAAAAGCCACGCATCTTTTGCAGGCTATTATACTAAATGGAACCTAACTTGTTCTACACTACACATACATGTGCCAGTGAAAATCAATCAATGGAAAAGTGAGCGTCGGATATGCAAAGACCGCTTGGTTCTTGACTAGGGTAACTTAATTTGTTCATAATAATGGTCATGGTTTCACAAAGAAAGGAACAATGTGGTGCATGAGTTGTTAATGGCTACATATATTGGCTATCATGGTGGTTTAAACCCAACCAATATAATGTCTTAAATTCACCAACAAAACTTTAACTTATTACATAAATGAAAAGTATTTTTAAGAATTTTTTTATTAAAAATAATAAATATTTTTTGACATAGGACTTTTAAATACATTTTTAAATTTGTATTCAAATAAATTCATTATTAAAATCAAAATGTCTTTATATTTTAAGAAAATAAGTTTAGAAACTAATTCATTCTACAAAATCAACATAATTTTTTACAATTATATTACACTATTATAATATTAATTATATGCCATATTTATAGTTAAGCATGATAATGGGATAGGTTTTATGTTTCTCACATTTGTCCCTGTAAATTTAAACTATTCTCGTCCCCGAAATTTGTTAGAGATAAAATTTAGGTATTCATTCTCACTTCTGACGTAGTTTGGGTTTTCCCACCTTCACTTCTGGATATTTTTTTTGTTTTTAATAAATATGAAAAAAAAAATAAGATAATATAAATTTTTACATATAAA